ATAGATGACTGATAACAGAAAATACAGCATTTACTAATCTTGCAGACCATCACTCCATCTGTGTGCTACCATCAAAACATCTTAACTTCTTGCTTTGGGCCAAAACAAAACCCAGAACCACCTCTGGAAAGTTAGGATTGCCTTGGTTACCCACTGAAGAACGTTTCCTCATGAATCTAGAGTTAGCAAGCTTTTTCTACAAAAGGGCCAAATAATAAACAGTTGACAGCCATCAGCTGTCTGTGTGTCTGCTTCCTTTGGCTCTGAAGGCAGTATGAAAGCAGCCGTGGGTAAGAGGTAAATGAACGGGTGTGGCTGTGTAAAACTTACTTGAAAAACGTTGGTGCAAGCCAGAGCTTGCTTACTCCCATTCTAAGTGATCCTGCTGGCGGTATCGCTAGTAGGAACAGTCAGACTGTAGTGTCAATTGCTGAAATTTCTCTGTGTGGAAACCATTTCTAAGCTACCTGGATAGTGTGGATGTAGGACTTGAATTATTTGTTGAACATCTATTATTCGTGTAGAATGTAACATGTTGGCAGGTAGAGGGAGCTACAAGACATTTCCCAATAAGGTCTTCTTCTTACTGGTTAATTTAGAGTTAACAATGCAAAACTGTATCTAATTAAGTGCCAGATTGTGTGAATCAAGATAAAAATGTTAAGGAATTTCCAATAGAGTAAGATGGAGTAATTGCATGGTTTCTAAAGAGGGTGACATTTGAACCTCACTTTAAGGCAGGCTGTATGGGGTTTGATTAGATTAAGTGATCTTCCTGTGTTTGTAATTGTCTAGTAAACGAGACTGGAATTAAGGATGTTTCCAGACTGGAAGTATCAAGATCAAATCACATATTTGTGAGACTTATGGAGAGACTTGGTTAACTAGGGCAGAAAATATATGTTGAGAGAAATAAGCTTGGGTGTAATATGACAGAAAATTCTGGAAGGTCCTGAAAACCAAACCCAGAACTTCATTTTTTATATCGTAGATGCAAACAGTCATTAAAAGACCATCGTTACATTAGTAATATAAAAATTAATCTGGCAATAGTATTTATCCAACAAAAATTTAAAACCCACGTACATTATGCTCATTTAGTGTTGAGCTACTGGAATATGACTCTGAAAAAGAAAGTAGCCCTGTGGAGTGGAAAGCATGTTCATCTGTCTACACATACGACATAGAACGCATCAGGTGCAGATCAGGCAAGGATGTCAGGGAGTTAGCACAGTGCTAGGAGCGCTGTTAGAGTTGTTGAGGGTCTGGGAATGCGAAAGTAGTGTCAGATTATTAACACAGATGATTCAAAGGATAAAAAACAGTTGAGTTTATCTTCTAAATTACTTTTTATGTGATTACTTTTTCTTTCTTAATTCATGCCCAGCTACTTCTGACAACCTTTTATCCAGAATACATCCCTGACATGTCATGCATCAGATTTAGCGGTATTTCATTTCTTGACTTTCCTCTAACCAAACATCTGTTATTGTCTGCTGCAGCAGTGTTTCATTTTTTAACTGTACTCTAACCAACCCTCTGTTGTTTATGTCTGCTGGTGTTAAAACCTGATGAAAGCTTCCTTTTGCAGTTATCACTGAGACTCATTCTGCCCCTTTTAATTCTTAGCAGGTAAGCTAGGCTAAGCAATAACTATTCCAGTTGATACAAAAGGTAACAGGTAACAGAATCTTTTTCAGAAGTATTTCATTGTGATACTGCTATTTGTAGAACGTTGTTACTCTAGAATTACAATCACATTTTGTTGAAACTTTCTGAGTGTTGGGAATGCGTTATTCTCAGCAGTCAGATTTGCTTAGGGTTGTCCTACAGAGTAATGGGATATATGTTCTGTGTTTGTAGATTTTCTGCCTAAGATTTAGCTTTTACTTATCTGACTTTTCCCCATTACTTAACAAATGGTATTCTACATTTAACTTACTATTTAATACTCATTTTGAAATAATTTCAGATATACAGAAGAATTGAAAGAACAGTGCAGAGAATACCCTTATGCCCTTCACACAGACCCACCAATGTTAGCGCAAATATGGTAGTATTTTGTTTATATACACACGCTCACATACATCCACTTACTTACTTTTTCTGACCCATTCGAAATTTACAGAGATAGTGTCCCTTCACTCCTGAATGTTTCAATGCATGTTTCCAAGTCTAAAAATCACAGTTATCAAAGTCAAGAAATTGATAGGATAAGCCATACGGTCCCTCGGCAGTGGAATAAAGAGAAACACTAGTATATTTAACAACATGAATAGATCTCAAATATATTGTAGTAAGTGAACAAAACCAGATTCAAAAGTTTGCATACTATATGATTCAATCTATATGACATTCTGGAAAAGGCAAAATTAGTGGGCTTAAAGAAAAGAGTCACTTTCAGTGGTGATGGGAGCGTATGTACTATAAAGGAGCGTTACAAGGGGTTCTGGGGAGTGATAGACTCGTTTCCTACTTGTGACAGAAGCTACACAATTGTAATGATCTGAAGAGAAACCAGAATAATAGGGCTATGCAGTTGTATACATTTTTACAATTGTATACATTTGTCAAAACTTACATGGGACTGTATATAAAAAAGAGTTGAATTTTCCTGTATGTAAATTTTAGAAGTGGGGAACAATCTAGAATTTAATATGGAAACTGTGGTTAGTACATCTACAGGTGTTGCTCAGATTATTTCCAATTGCCCCAATAAGTCTTTTTATGGGAAAAGGAAATCTTAGATGACAAAATTGTTATATCTCTTTGGTTTCCTTTAATCTGAAAGATTGTTTGTTGTTGTTGTTGTTGTTCAGAATAGTCTTGTAACTTTATAAGATACCCTTCATTTTGGGTTAGTTTTTTTTTTGAGGAGTACATTTAGGTGTTGTGCTTATGGCAACGCTAACATAGAAGTAATGCTATTTTCTTCTCAGCACCCCATATCAGGTGGCACATAATATTACAATATTAAAGTGGTGTCTGCCAGATTTCTCCACTGTAAGGTCGCTGTTTTCCCTTTGTAGTTATTAAATGTCCTGTGAAGAAATATTTTGAGATTATACAGCTATCCTGCCACTTGACAAACTTTTGCCTGCTAATTTTAGCAGATCTAAAGATCTTCCCTTGCTTGTATTAACTAGTTTCTCTTAAGTAGAATTTATTAGACAGAATTTAACTTGTTGACCCAGGCAGTTAAGCACATTGCTTATTGGGATGCCTCATAGATAAGGGTGCAAGGAGTGACTGTTGTGAGCTCTCTTAAGTGATGTTGAAGTGCCTCTAGAACCACTGAGGTGACCACTTAGGGATGGGTGGTATTTCATGATTTCCAGCCACTCCTCCACTGGCATTCTGCATCTCCCCATCACTGTTGGGAGGGTACCTGTTTCTTGTCCTTGGTACCTTGTTGTTTAATGCTTCTACCTCTGTTTTATGTAGCAACAGCTTTGTGTTTTTTTAAAATTTCGCAGGATGGATGGCCCAGAGTAAAAATGTTGGGTTGATCTATTTAAAAAAGAGCTAGAAGCTAGGCGTGGTGGTGCATACCTGTAATCCCAGCACTCTGGAGGCTGAGGCAGGAGGATCTCCATGAGTTTGAAGCCAGCCTGGGCTACATAAGCAAGTTCAAGGCTAACCTGCACTACATAGTGAGACCCTGTCAAAAATAAATAATAAAATAAAGTGAACTAGAACTAGCTATAACAATGTTTATATTTTTCTTCCTTTTTCTTGTTTTTTGAATTATTTTAGCAATACTTTGTTTTCATTTGTCATGTTTTATAGCCATTAAGGGGGAAAAGAAGTTAGAACTCTGAAGTTCTTTGGTTTCCACCCCCTCTCCTGTCATACAGTGCACTTCCCTTCTCTGTCTCAACTTCAGGAACCTTTACCATCAAGTGATCTCCACAGATGTGAAATTCCACATTAAGCCCCATAGGAGATCCTGACCCAAAGGAACGCTTGGGGTCCTGATCTGTCACATCAGCCAGTGGTGACACAGCAAACAGATGCCAGCCACAGTGGCAGAAGAGCCTTAAATGATAGTGCATTTCTACCTTTCAGGATCTTTAAAAATATAATATCTGATATAAGCCGGGAAAGTATTAACTTACACAATAATGATTAGAATAATTTCATACTTGTATGAAAATATTTAGATGAACTTACATAGGAAATAATTTCTGGGTCTAAAAATGAAGTCACCCTTTAGTTAGAATGTGTTGATTATATGTAATACAATGAATATATCGCCAGTAAATTTTAAAATGTTAATGTTACAGATGCAGTTGTAGAAAAAAGCCAAATAATGTGCAATTTGGATTTTCTGTATTTTGCCTTACGGGTAGTGATTTACGTTATGTTGACTGGCAGATTTTTAGCACCTTTGAGCTCAATTTTTAATTATTTTTTCACTCTCCACAGTATAAAAAAAATCCCATTGATGTTTTAGGTTTTTTTAGCTGATACTTGAAGTGATAGTGACAAGGAATGGGCTCCCTTTTATGCTAAGAACTGTGCTGCCTTAATTCTAGAAAAGAAAATGAAATCTGAGCAGAGGAAGACAAAACTGTTTTTTAGGACCAAGAGTTGGAGATCTGTACCACCCAGACATTTACAGTAGTGGAAAACTACCTTAAAGAGAAGGTAGTAATCATGGTCTACGTTGTCATCACCTGAGTGTGAGCTGGAACTTTCTTAGGTCTAGTGTCAACCTGTGTTGAGGGTGGCAAATCTAACTCCTAGTCATGTGATCTCATGGTGGGATTTAAACAGGTGAGACGCTTCCCACCCATATCTGACTTTCATTTATATACACGGGCATATATCTTCCTTTCTGTACCTATATGTCGTTATTCATATAAAACTTCAGATGAGTGAATGCATAAATATGCATGGTGATGGAGCTTACAGAGTTAGAAGTGTAATTCAGTTTACTCCCACAGAATAAGGCTGAAGATAATGAGAACTGAATTAAAGCTTACTTTCTTTCACAGAATTCCTCAGAGAGAGAAGACTGTAATAATGGCGAACCCCCTAGGAAGATAATACCAGAGAAGAATTCACTTAGACAGGTATGAAATTCAGACTTACTTAAAAATAAGAAGCTACCAACAACAAAACAAAAGATAGGAAATCCTTGCTTTACCATTCTTTCAACATTGGAGCTTAAAATGAGTGCTCTAAAGTGGTCTGACCATAGCCATCAACTTCAGTTAGGTCATATCATTTTCCAGTCATTTCAAAAACATCCTAGGTGCGAAAGTATAAGACAGTTATATGTAGGGAATATTAAGATAAGAAGAAAAGTTTTTTTGTTTCAGGGAAAAGAACTCAAGTGCATTTTAAGTACAGATGGTAGAAGCTGGGCATGGTGGTACACGCCTATAATCCTAGAAAATGAAATCTGAGCAGGAAGATTGTTGCAAGTTCGAGATCAGCCTGGACTACAAAGTGAGCTGAAGGCCAGCCTGAACTGTATAGTGAGACCCTGCCTCAAAAAGGGAAAAAAAAAAAACCCTCAAAAAACAAACGAAATACAGAGGGTAGAACAGTTGTCTCTGAAACGTAAGTTTCCTGTTAAGATTGCTTATACATTTCAAAAAATAATAATAACCAGAACAGATTTGCCTGTAGTTAGTTCCTTTTATTTTGTTTGTGGTTAGTAGGAGTAGAGGCCTCACCTCCAGTATTGGGGATCAAACCCAGGGCTTCACATATGCTAGGCAAGCACTCTACCATTGAGGTATATCCCAGTCCTTTTGAAATTTTATTTTGAGACAAGAGCTGTTTCCCAGGCTGGCATCCAACTTGTGGTCCTCCTGCCTCAGCTTCCAGAGTAGTTGGGATTATAGGTGTGCTCTACTACATCAGTGAGGCCGCTACTGACTAGTTTAAGTAATACCAATATATGTATATATCTACCTTACTTCCAGAAAAGTAGCACATTTTACTTGTGAAAGTTCACTGCGTGATGCTTTGTGTTTTGTTTTGTTTTGTTTTGTTTTGTTTTGTTTTGTTTTGTTTTGTTTTGTTTGTAACAGGAATCAAACTCAGGACCTTGGGCTTGCCAGGCAGGCGCTTGTACCACTGAACTATATCCCTGGCTCTTTTTTTAATTGATTGATTGATTGGGGAGGCACTTGAAACTGAACTCAGGACCTCCCATTTGCCAGGCAGGCACCGAGCTGTTGTTTTTTGATTGATTGGTTTTTTGAGACACGGTCTCACTACGCAATTCAGGCTTTGCCTTGAACTCACTAAGTCGCCCAGGCTGCCTCAGCCTCCCAGATGCTAGAATTACAGGTGTGTGCCACAATGCCTGGCTTCTTTTTTAAATATTAAAGTGTCCAAAATAGTGGCCAAAATTTTTTCCTTTTCACTGCCTGTAGCTGCCTTTAACATCTCCCTTCCTTATTGGAAACAAAAACAAGTACATGAGTATTTCCAGAGAATAAGCATGTGCCACCTATTTTTGTTGTTACATTACTAGTGATTGAACCCAGAACCTCCACACTGAGTTACTGTATTTTTTGAAATGTTTTTGAGCTGGACATGGTGACACAGCTCTCAGGAGGCTGAGGCAGGAGGATTGCTGCGAGCTCGAGGCCAGCCTGGACTATATGGTAATTCCAGGCCAGCCTGAACTACATAACAAAATCCTCTCTCACAAAAATCACTGAATTGCGCAGGTTGGGTTCCAGCTTGCATTCCTCCTGCCTCAGCCTTCCAGAGTGCTGGGATTTCAGACATGTACCACAACTCCCAGCCAGCCTATTCATTTTAAATGTAAGATTCAGTAAAGTGGGCACCAATAACAATAAAAATAATTTTAATTTACTTGCACTTATGGCATTGTTCTAAGACATAGAAGAGTGTTAATATTTGTTGAGCACCTACCATAAACATATACTTGTTTAATTCCCACAGTAACCCTATAAAATTGCTAGATACAGTGTAACTTCCAATTTAAAATGAAGAGAACGACTTCAATAGGTTAGATGACTTTAGTGACTCAGTGATTTGAAACTCAGAACTCACTGTTGCCAAAGTGCTTCTACTTCTACCTTTCAGACTCCAGTTTGCCTATTGTTAATTTAGGAAGGAAAGTACTTGAGACCGTGACACACTCATTTTTAACTTACTATGAGCAGTACTTTTTCCTTTTTTAATAAAAATAATTGTTTTAAGTCAAATTGAGTCAATTCAGGAAGATTTGTAAATAAACATGTGATCATTAATTGAGGTTGAAACACTTTTAACTATTTGGAGATAAATACCTGATCTGTAACCCTAAAGCAGTAGGACATTATTGAGTAAGATACATTTGGGGGTAGAAACACCCTGCCCACTATACGGAAACAACTGTGAGAAAACAAAGGCACAACAAAAAGTTTTGGCAACTTTATTTAAGCTAACAAACGAATTTTCACTCTGCAAAGTTATAAATTAATTTTAATAGGCCGATCCAGATGGTCCATTTGGAAAATGGATAGGCTGATCTGTTGAAAATTAAACTAAATTTATCTGTCTCATACTTCAAACTGAAGTGAGAGAGAGAGTCGTGCTTATTAAGTCCAGCACATACAGATGGACCAGCAGGTCACACATGGGACTAATCTGATTCATTTTAAAAATAAATGCAAACATTATTGAATCATTTTATACTTGCAAGATCTGTTGTGCACAATATTTGAAAGAGATTTAATGTTGTTTTTTCATTGCTGTTTTAGCAGGTTCTCTTCACCCCGCAATTTTAATTTACCAGTCCCCCTGCCCCCATGCTGCAAAATGATTTTCGTAATATCTGTCATTCAGTGTTGCGATCCAAGCTCTAGAGATTAATTAGGTCGTGAGCGCCCCCACCCCCACCCTGCGCCTTTCTTTATACAGGATTTTATCTCCATTCTTTTTGTGAGGAGCATGAACTCAGTGTTCTTGGAAAGAGAAATGGCCTTTAGAAACTGGGAAGTAGGAGATCCTCCTGGGGCCCTCAGAGTCTTTTAGCTTCTGGGTGTTTTAACAGCCCCATGAATGCAGATTTGTAAATTTATTGCAGTGCCATCTGGTTTTTTGCTTGAACCAGATTACTGTTGGCTTGTGTCTGTCTATTGTGGTGGTCACTCCCTGGGAGTTTGCCCTCTCAATCTTAGGAAAGAGTGATGAATAGCAGGGGTCAATAGAAGCAGGTCACAGGGCAGCTGTCCAAGACTGCCCTGAACTTGATTACCCCACTACAGATTTTTTTTTAAGGCTGGACATAATACTATACAAGCTGTTTAATCTCTTCCTTTTCTCAACTGCAGATGACAATAAGGCAGGGCCATTTGCTGCCTTGTTTGTTTGTTTGTTTGTTTGTTTCCACTGTAGTCTTGTTCTGTGGACAAAAAGATGGTAAGGTTGCCAGCTTACACCTACTGTTGATGTGAGATTGGTGTCGTGTGAGTCAGTCCTTTAACTTGAGATTCTTTTGTGATGTTTCTAATGGGATTTCAGGAACTCTTTACTATTGAGTATAAAAAGTTTGGTTACGTTCTAACAATTTCATATTGTTTTAAACTAAATCATAGCTCAGAGTTTTTATTCTAAGTAGAGTTTTGCCATTGACCAGCTATGACTACATGTTAATTTGCAGGGCTGTTTAAATATTGGAGGGGCTGAAAGGAGGTTTGTCATACAGTGTTTACATACATTGAAAGAGTAATAATGGGGTGTCAGTCTGACAGCTAAAATAAAATGGATAAGCTCCTTGAAAAATATGACTTAAAACTAACACAGGGTGAGGCAAAATTTAAATAGCCCTGTGTCTATTACATACATTTATTATCAAATGATCATATGCTTTCACTGGTGATTTCAACAAACATTTGAGAAAGAAATAATAAAAATCTTACACAAACTCTTTCTGAAAGCAGAAAAGAATACTTCCTGACTTGTAAAACCACCATAACAGCAATTTCAAACCCGACAGAGACACTATTACCAGAAAAGGAGATACGGAAGGAGGCGTCACTTCCTGTGTTCCAAGTCACTCCTACACCTACTTTTCATTTTACATCCAGGGTGCCAGGCCATGGTGGGGGCGCACTCTTGTAAGGAAAGTCAGTTTTTCATGATGTAGAATAGTCTCGTCTTGGCATTAAGTGTAAACTTTTATTTAGAGCATGTACATTGTAGTTTTTTTTTTTTTCTACTTTTCTCCTAAAATGCAAAGCCAAAAAAACATAGCCACTGTTTTCATAGCTCTTACTATTCTCTGTTAGGGAGGGTGAAGGCCTGGCAGGGTACATGAGAGTACTCATTACTTTTTGAAAATGCAGCGTTACAACGTGCAACTCTTCTGTGCTCCACATTGGTGCTAATCGGGTCTGTCAGCCCTGCCGTGCTCTGTAATTGAGTAAATTGTGACTGCTGTCTAATCCTCTCCCATCCCCCATTTCCTTTGTGTATGTGTCCACTTTCCATCCTGGGAACGTGGGCAGTGATAAATAAAGCATTGAGTAGAGCTCTCTGAACTCTTTGAAAGCAGCATGATGCCAGCCCTCTAGTTATATTTCTTTAAGTGTTTACGTTTTTCTGTAGTCTCTCTCTTGTGTGGCTGGAACCCTGGGGATGCAAAGCCATGAGAGAGGCCAAGAAGCTAACAAAGTAGCTGTCTCTCTTGTTAGCTTGTTCCTTTATTCTTTAAAAACAAGATAAAAACCATCTGGCTCAGGGCATTACATTTTCCTCCCCCATGCACCTCTATAGAGGAGACTTCACCTGCAGTGAGGGTTTACATTGATTAGGGAGGGAGCAATAATTCAAGCTTCCATCCTCTTCAAGGATACTTTGCAGTCTTTAAGGTGCTGACCCACGGAGTTAAACTGTCAAGGGAGGATAAAAAAGTATCTTCCTCCCAGGAGGTAACAGCTGCCAGGTTTTCAACACCTTGCACACTTCTGGAAAAATGTCACAATTGTCAGCTGAAAGAAGAGTGACTGTGTTGTCATGTTCTTTTAATGACTAGGCCTTACAAGAGGAACTACATTACCTTTTAGAAGGAATAAGAGACTTTTTCTTGCCTACTATATCT